AAAGAGGAAGAGGGATAAAAAAGGGGGGAAAAAGGATGTAAAAAAAGGGTTTTGTAGAAAAAAGGGTGGTTTGAGGGGAAGGGGGGAGTCGTGTGAAGCGAAGGAGGGAAATAATTCTGTAAATTTGAGATAAATACAAACTTAATTATATTTTAAATGTTGTTGCGTGACGTAACTTAATTTTTTTCTAATTTAAGAAAACGTTCGAGAAAAAAAAAAAGGAAAAAAGGAAAAAAAAAAGGTCGTGTTTTGCCCCAACAACCGAAAATTATTATTATTTAAAAAAAAAAAAAGGAAAGGAAAGAAAAAGGCTGCTACCACGATTTATTTCTCTCTCTTTCTCTTTCTCCTTCTCTTACTTCCCTTCCAACCTTCGATTATACGAATCCTTTTTTTTTCTTTACATCCATTAAAATTTAAATAAAACGATTTTAAAGGTTCGATATCTCGAACGACATGACGATCACGATCATAACGATGATGATGAATGTGAAATCGAGAAGATGTGATATTTGTATTGTGAGAGGGGGGGGAGAGAGAAAGAGGGACGAGGAGATGAGATTTAAAAACTTAAAATGAAATAAAAAATGTGGCGGAGATGATTTTGTTTATAAAATGAAATATGTTTAATTATTTATTTAAAACAACAACAAAAACAACCCAAAAAAATGGGGGGGGGAGGGCATAAAATAAAAAAGGAAACGAAAAATAAACCGCGTTCGTCTGAGTGTGTGCGAGTGCATTTACGTTAGTGCCACGTTAAAATCCTCTCTTTTTTTTTCTTCATCCTTTTTCTTCTTCTTCTCCTTCTTCTGTGTACCTATTCTCTCTCTCTCTCTCTCTCTCTCTCTCTCTCTCTCTCTCTCTTTGTTTTTCAGGTTCTTTCTTTTGTCTTACATTCTCTTCTTTCTTTTTTATTTTTTTATTACCGGTTAAAATAAAAAATAAAAAAACGAAAATGAAAATCAAACAGAAATACAAGACCTTTAAATACCGGAATGACTGATGATAATAATAATAATAATGATGATGATGATGCTTTTTGGTATATATTCTTACTTGACTTTTTTTTTTTTTTAGTTTAAACAACGAATAAATAAATAAATAAATAAATAATAAATAAATAAATAAATTCGACGAAAGAATTTTTTATTTGTTAAAGAAAGAAACGCCGACATTTTTTTTTTTTTTTTAAATAATTCGAAATAAAAAGAAGAAGAAGGAGAAAAATCTGTTGGGTTTTAAAATAAATAAAAAGAAGGAGGATGGGTTTGGAGAAGGGGGGAGGAAGAGAGGGAGGGAGACGGTGGAAGAAGGAGGGGAGTGGGTTGGGGTGAGGGTGACGACGATGAGAAGATTGGAACGAGGCAAAAGAGGGAAAAAAGGGGGGAAAGGTATGATGACGTCGGTATGGATAGGGAAGAGGGGAGGGGAGTGCGAGTGTGTGTGAATTCTCGTCCAAGAGATTTTTCTTATTCTATCTCGTCCGCCATTTTGAATTTTTTTTTTGTTTATTGTCTTTTACTTATTTAAAACAAAAAAAAAACTATTTTTTTTTATTTATTTAATATGAGAGAGAGAGAGAGAGAGGGAGAGATATTTTTGTCCGTTATTACCTAATCTCTCTCTCTCTCTCTCTCTTTCTAGTTTTAAAATTTAAATGATTTCAAAATTCCAGATTGTAACCGTAAAATAAATAATTAAAAATAAATGTTAACTTATTTAAAAAAAAAAAAAAAAAACGATTTCGATGACGGAGATTTCACAATACAAGGAAATTATAACGAACAAAAAAAAAAAAACGAAAATTTCAAATCGGTGGCGTCTCAAATGTTTTTTTTCCTTAATGCCACGTCTTTTCCCCCCCTCTTCCCTTTCCCTCCCTCTCACTCGGTCGCGTACCTTCTACGAAAGCCGCGTAAAATCATTATTATTATTTGTCGACCGTATGAAAACGCGTCGGTCGTAACGGAAAAATTTAAATTCGGGTTGAAGACGAAAAGAACGACGACACACAAAGGCGGTGGTTTTGGTGACGTCACAAACAAATGCAACCATATTGACGACGAACGGGAGAAATTTTTAAGTAAAAAACAAACCCAAAGCCAAGAGGGGATGGGAGTGGGTAAGGGGGCAAAAAGGCAACTATAAGCGATCGCGTAAGGAATTCAGGGGATTGAAATGTTCTAGAAGAAACGCCACGCACGCATGCACACGCACACGCACACGCCACGACGAAAGGAAAAAAAATTATTTATTTATTTATATTTAAAATTATTTCGAGATTATTTATTATTTTTCGTGTGTTTCCATCAATGTAAACATTTGTCTCTCTCTCTCTCCCCTCTTCCTTTCCCCCCTTTCTCCTCTTCCTTTCCTCCCTCTCTCCCTTTCTCCCTTCCCCCCTTTCTTTGATTGTTTATTAATTTATTATTTTATTTTTTTCTTTTCCTTTTTCTTCCTTTTTTTTTTTTTTACTTTCAAATATGTTTGTAACTAACAAGAATTTATTTTGTTTATTTCTTATGTAAACACTTAAAAAAAATAATAATAACAATAAAGAGAGAGCGAGAGAGTGTGTGTGTGTGAGGGAGAGAGTAAAAAAAAAAAACCGTCGAAATATTTTTAAAAAAATTATTTCCGCCATTTTGAATTTTTTTTTTATATTAAATTTAATGAAAGGATGATGATGATGGTTCGTCTGTGACCGATTTCTTTGATGAATGTTTATGTTGGCAATCCTGAAATCACGATCAGGTTCCGTTCGGGTGGGTTCGAAATAAGAAAAAAAAATTTATGGGGTGTGAGAAAGAGAGAGAGAGAGAGAGAAAAGGGTTCAAGTAGATGTGAATGCAACGCAAAACATCCCGTAGGATTTGAGTAAAAAAAGGGATGACCGAAAACAGGGAGAGAAAGAGAGAGAGAAAAGGGATATTTTCTTAATTCTATTTATTTAAATATTCGAATTCGGATTTAATATAATTTTTTATGTGGGCGATGGGCGTGACGAAGTTTCGTCACCACCACCATGATTGTCTACGTCATCATCTACGTCATCATAATTATAATTCTATTCGGTAAAAATTTCGGACAAAGTTTTCCGCGTCAGCAAAACAATAGAGAGAGGGTTGTGCGTGTGTGCGTGTGCGTGTCCGTGTGTGGGTACGGGCGCGCCCTCGCTTAAATTCATACGAATTTTTTTTTTTTTTTTTTTTTTTTCAATTTAATTAGAAAATTTTATTATTTCCTATAATCGAATTTTACTCGATGGCGGCGGGCACGATATTAAAAATATTTTTTTTTATTTCTCCTTCCGCCATTTCAATTTATATTATATCCCTATCCCTTCTTCCTCCTCACCCTCCTCCTCCATCTCCTTTTCCGTCGTAGTAGTTTTGCCTTATTTGCTGCGAGTATGTGTGTGTGTGTGTGTGTGTGTGTGTGTGTGTGCGTGCGTATGTGTGTACGTTTGCATGGGGGAAAGAGAGAGTGAGAGTGAGAGCTTCTCTCTCTCTCTCTCTCTCTCTCTCTCTCTCTCTCTCTCTTTCCATTTTTTTTTTTTTATTTTTTTAATTTTATTTATTTTTCGCTTCGAGTTGATATCGTAATATATCATTATTTTTTCATTTGAAAAGGGAGGTAGTATTTATATTAAAAGTGGTTATTTTCCAACCCCTCCTCCTCCCCGTTGGGCGTTACCACTAACCAAGGGTTCCCGAACGGAGGAAATAAAAAAAACAACGAGCCGGTGAAAAAAAAACTGTGTCGGAAAATCGCGTGCCTAATTTTTAACAGAAAAAAAAAAAAAAGAATTTAAATTTGATTTTTCCCGCGAAAAAAAAGGAAACGTTCGAGGAAGAGAAGGAGGAGGAGGAGGAGGGGAAAGAAAAAAAAGGGAATCGGGAGAAAGAATGGGTAGGAAGTATGTAAGGAAAAAGGTAGGGAGAGGGTAATTTAAAAAAACAAATAAAACAAACCTGAAATCTCATCGAATGAAATCTTAAAAAATATTTTCTCACTCTTTCTCTCTCTCTTCCTCTCTTTCTCCCCCTTTCCGCCTCCCCCCGTTTCTTTTTCGTAACGAAATAATTCTAATTCCACGTTTCGGATGAATTTCCTTTTTTTTTTTTTTTAAAGTCCATTGCAACGAATATATAAATAGTTTGATTTATTTATTTAACGTCCTATGTAAATAATAATAATAATAATAATAATAATAATAATAATAATAAATATATGTATAATAAATATAAATATATATATATATATATATTTACATAATGGTGGAAAAAAAACGATGGTTGTTTTATTTAAATGAAACGTGAGTTTTTCCGACGGTTTTTTTTTTTAATAAATATTTATTTTTACTTTCGAGTATTTAATAAAAAATCAACACGAAAAAAGAATTAAAAAAAAAAAAAAACAAAATGGCGTCGAAATATGAAAACTTTAAATTTTTTTTTTACCTACTTCCTATACTACTGTCATAATATTCTAACCGTTTGTTCGTTTTCTCCGTAAGGAATTTAAATTTTCCCGCCAAAATTTTATCGTCGGCGTCGTCTTATTACTCTTTGAGATAATTTCGAGAGGGCGGTGGAGTCATCTAGTAGAGGAAAGGGGGGAAGGGGTGATGACGTATGTAAATAAAAGGGAATCTCACTCATCCTCTTTCATGCATGCCTTGTTGAATCCACGTGAAACGTAAAAAAAAAAAAAAAATTTTCCGCACCTGAAATTTTAATTCTTTTTTTTCCCCCCACCACCGCTTTTTTCATTTTTTTTTTCCAGCCTTCGTTCCACATATCTCTCTCTCTCTCTCTCCCCTCGTATATATCTCCCTCTTTCTCTCTCGTACGTAAGATATTATATATTTTGCTGGAATTGGGTCATTAATCATTTATCGCGGAGTTTTTTTTATAAAAAAACGTCGAGCCCTTTGTTTACCTTAGCGAAAAATTAATTTATTTAAAATTTTAAAAAAATTTGATTTTTCGCATATGAACACATTCTCCAGTGTTTGTAAAGCTCTTTGATTGAGCCGGCATTTCGAGAGAGAGAGAGAGAGAGAGATAGAGAGAGTCCTACGTTCGTTCGTACGTTCGTACGTTCGCTTTTAATGTTTTATTCATAATTGAAAGTCGATTCATTCGGGGAGAGGAAACAAAAAAAAAAAAAAAATACGTGTTGAGAGTCAAGGGTAAGAGAAAGTAAAAAGAGAGAGAGAGAGAGAGAGAGAAAGGCTTTCTCTTGAATTGTATCCATTGTGACTCTTAGCCTTGTGCTTTGGCCTTTTTTTTCCGACCCATCTTCATGATGTGTTTTCCATTTTCACGATTACCTTCTTTACTCTCTCTCTCTCTCTCACTATCTTTCTCTCTCATTCTTCTTCCACTTCTTCCTTAATCTTCCTTTCTCTCTCTTTGTGTGTTTTTTTTTTTTTTATTAAATTGAATTTTCCGTTTTACGCTGTTGCCAAATAGTTGCGGCAACTTGTACGTTCACACGTTTAATTATTGTTTCTGTTTGTTGTTGTTGTTATTGTCTTTGTTATCATCGCATTAATTTTTTTTTCGTTTGTTTGTTTGTTTCAGGCCAAACTATTAGAAAGCTCACACGGTTGGCTCGGTGCTTCCACATCAACATTAGCCGGTAAGTATTTACCTACCTACCCTCCACGTATTTTTTTTTTTTTTTTGTTTTGCTTTCCCTTTTCGGTCGTTTTCCTTCCCTTATATATAATAAAATTTTTTATTTTACAGGTAAAAATAATAATAAATATAATTATAATTTTCAGGTGGAGACGGAAAATTTATTTATTTTTTCTCCCTCCTCTAATTGTTTAGCGTACAAACAACAAACGAAATTATTATTATTATTATTATTATTACTTTTATTTTGTTTTTTTTTTTTTGTTTTCCTCTCTCTCTCTGTATAAGAAATCGTGAGGTCGGGGCGCGTTACGAAAAGGGTGTCACTTGGAAATGACACTTTAATTATTATCATTATCATTACCTTTTTTTTTTTTTTTTTTTTTTTTTTTTGGTGACAGGAATGCTTTTGTTGTTAAATTTTCAGAAAGATGTTTAGGATACAATCCCGATATAGTTAATATCGTCGGAGAAAAAACGTGGATGAAAGCACTTCAGGAATCTAAAAGTCTGAATTCTAAATGGACGCAAGATGATTTAGTGACGGCCATCGAACTCGTCCGCGGCGGGACACCCATCAAACCCGCCGCCGAGCGGTGTGCCATACCCGTTATGACCCTTTGGAGAAGGACGAAAGCTTTGGGAATGGTCAGCAGTAGGGCTTCCCACGGGAGGAGCGCCAGCAGACGAAAGCAAAAATATTCTTTCGTTTCTTAGCCGTTTTCTTATTTTTTTTTATCCCATTCGAAAATTTTCGCGGTTGCCTTTTTCTTATGCGTGCGTGAGTGAGTGCGTGTGCGTGTGCGTGTGAGTGTGCGTGTCCGTGTGCGTGTGCGTGCGTGTATCCTCTTGCAAGAATTTTCCCCATCTTTCTCGTACCATAAATTCGGCGATAACAATTCCCGATTTTTCTCTTTCCTTCCCACGTTCTTCCCCTCATACTTCCTCTTTTCCACCGCCCTCTTTTCCCGACGTTCTCCCAAGTCCCCCTTTTTTTAATTTTGTTACGTTTGCGTGTTTTTTTCTTTTTTTGAACGTTGTTGTTGCATTTTTTCTTTTTCTTTTTGCATTTCTTATGATTATCATTATTATCTAGCCTGTTTTTTTTTTTTTTTTTGGTTTGTTTGCTTTTTAATGATAACAACTCACTTACTTGTTTTTTTTTTTTTGGTTGTTTTGCCGTTGTTGTTGTTGTTGTTGTTGTTTCATTACACATTAACCAATTAACCGATTTAATATTTGTTTTGTTTTTTGTTGTTGTTGAAATCGTTTTTGATGATGCTGCTGCTGCTACTGCTGATGATGATGTCGTCGCCGTCGCCGTCGTCGTCGTTGTTGTTGTTGTTGTTGTTGTTGTGGTTGTCTTTGAAAAGTGTGTTTTTCTTTCTAACATTAACCTTAAAAAATATTAAAAAATGAGTTTGCCTTTTTGATATATAATATATATTTATATTCGTCGGCTACGTTATTATTTTTTGAGGGGAGGATGTTTTATTCGGGGAGGTTTTTCCGTTTGGAGAGATGTGAGAGAATTTTTTTTTTCTTTTTCTCTTTGATGAGTAAAAGAGACGAGAAATTAAGGAATTACGACGTGGTAGTAGAAGAATGAAGTCGTAGGGAGAGGTTCGGTGAGAGGGTTGAAGTGGGGAGGGGTGGGGAGGAGTGAAATCCAAGAATGAAGTTTTATTTTATTTTATTTTTAATTTTTTTTTTTTTTTTCATTCATTCACATTTTGTTTTTTTTTTTCTTGTTTGTTTGTTTGTTTTTTTTTTTTTTTTTTTTTTGTTCGTTTTTAGTTAGATTGTTGTATTTTATAGATGTGCCAGGGTGTTTTATGCGTCTTCGAACTCCTAATTGGACACAAGGTCAACTCAAAGAAGCGATTCAAGCTGTCGTGACGCAAAGAATGCGATTCACGCAAGCATCGTCTCGGTACGGGATACCCAAAGGAACTCTTTATGACAATATATTAGGGAAAACGAAAAGAATGCTTGTTTTGGATGCTGCGGGTCTCACGCCGACGGAAGAAAACGCGGTTTTGGATTTCTGTTGTCAGATATCCGTGTCTCCGTATAACAGGAGAACTCAGAAACCCCTTTCCTCCATATTGAATTTTGTTGAATGCATACGTCGTAAAAGGGATCCCAATTTTAAATTCACTCGGATATCCGGATTCAGGTGGTGGTGGGCTTTTTGTAAAAAACACAGCATCGTGTCGTTATATTTCGAAACGAGACCCGACGAATGATGAAGCCGCCCCGCCCCCCATTTCGTTTCCCCTCCCCTTACCCCACATACTCCGCGTTTTAAAAAATTCACATACCCCCACCGAATAATGACTTTTTAATTCGTTCGCGTTACGATTTTCCTCCTTCTTTTTTTTTTTTTTTTTTTTTTGTAACGTGGCAGCATGAAATGAAAAAAAGTAATAATAATAATAATAATGATGTTGATGATGATGATGATGATGATGGTAATGATGATTTTCCGCGTTTACTTCTTCGTAATACCTTCCCATCTTTCTTCCCTCCCTTACAATCATCATCTCACTCACGATAACGTTATCTATAAAAAAGGTGAAAAGGTAAGCAGAAGAAAAAGAAGAAGAAGATGGAGAAGAAGAAAAGGAAATGATGATTAAATTGAAATAGCCGACGAAACCAAAAAAAAAAAAAAAAAAAAAAAAAATACAAGAAACTGTTAATATAATTTAAGTGAATTGTTTTTTTTTTTTTAGTGTCTGAGTGAGAGAAGCATGACTTTCCATTTATTTAACAGTTTACATTAATTTTTATTTACTTTTTTTTTTTATTAAATGTTAATTTTTTTTTGCCTTTGTCGTTCTCGTCGTCGTCGTCGTCGTCGTCATGTATACCTCTTCGTGCCTTTTTCGTACCTGTCTTGCTAGCATGCCTGTGCGAGTGTGTGCGAGCAATTGCCAACCAACCATACAAAAAAAAAAAATTTGGGAGGGTAAAAAAAGTTATAAAAAAATTTTTTTTTTTGTCTTAATCATTTTTTAATTATTATTATTATCATCATCGTGTTCGTATATATAATAATAATAATAATAATTTTCTCTGTCTTTCGTCGAAAATGATTTTTTAAAAATAGCCTGGAACGAAAAAATAGTGTGAGAGAGAGAGAGAGAGAGAGAGAGTGAGAAGGTGAATAGTAGAAAAAAAAAAAAAAAAAACCTTTTCAGGTACGTACGAGATGATGACGAATTTTCTTTTATTTAATAATAATAATAATAATAATAATAATAATAATTACTATTATTATTATTTAATTTTTTATGCGTGAGTGCGTGAGACGATGACGAATTTTGATTTAATTTAATTTTAATTTTAATTAGAGAAAGAAAAATTTTGTTTTTTTTTTTTTTTTTAGCATTTCGATATATCGAATTAGAAAAGTTTTAATCGCGAGATTTTAATCGAAACGAAAAAAAAAAAAAAAAATAAACTGTTTGTTTTGTTTTTTATTTGGTTTGTTTGTTCAAAAAAAAAAAAAAAAAAAAAAAGTTTTTTTTTTTTATTTAATTATGTTATTATTACTGTTATTAAATTTCAATACAATCACCTCGTGTTGTGTTGTTGTGTTCGTTTCAAGGTTTTTTACTTACTCTATGACCATGTATTTGTTTATTCAAATTATGATTTTTTTTTTTTTTTTTCTCTTTCGTGTAAGCCATTGTGTTATTATCATTATTATTATTATTATTATTATTATTATTACTGTTATTGGTGTTGTTGTTGGTGGTATTATTATTATTATTATTATTATTGTTATTTCGTAAATTGTTGTTTGCGTTGTTAATAAAAATAAGGACGTAAACTAAATTTTTTTTTTTTTCCTCTTTTTTCTTTTCTCTATTTTCTTTTCTCTTTTTTTTCTCATTTTTTCTCTTTTTTTCTCTTTTCTTTTTTTAAACAAATTTAATTAAAAAAAACAAAAAAAGGAAGTTTAAATTATTATTATTATTTTTGATTAAAACGACGTTGTTGTGTAAAACATACGAGAGCGGCCATTTTGATTTCAAATTTCTATGAACGATTATAATTAAATGAGTTTAAAAAATTTACTAGTTCGAAAAATGAAATAAAGATGTCGCATCGGAAAGTTTTTTCAAAATGGCGGAGTCGCCGCCAAAAACGTCACGTGATTTTTTACCACTATTAAAACAATTATTTATCAAACGTTTTTTTTCTTTTTGTTTTATTCTTTTATTCTTTTATTTCTTTCTTTTTTTTTTTTCTTTTTTTCTTTTTCCTTATTTATTAATCGAAACAAAAACCAAAACGTTTAAATAATAATAATAATAATAATAATAATAATAAAGGAAATGAATTAACGCAAACATATTTCGATCCATCGATCGTTTATTATCGATTAGTGAGTAAAAAACAAAAAAAAAAACAAAATTTTTTTCCTTTCTTTACTTCCTGTTCGATAAATTAATAATAATGATAATAATAATAATAATGATGGTAATTGGAGCAAAAAAAAAATTTTTTTTTTTTTAATTTTCGCCATATTTAATGGCTGACTGGCCGATTAATAGAAAAAAATAAAACAAAATAAATAAAAAAATTTTTTTTTTTTTAAAAGTTTATATTTAAAAATAGAATTTAATTATTAAGCAATTTATTTGTTTGTTTGTTTGTTTGTTTGTTTGCGTTGTTGGTTGTTTGATTGTTTTTACTTACGAAATATTATTTATTTATCGAAAATTTGTTTCATTTAAGTAGTTTTTTCGTTCGATAATTTTATTTTAAAAGGGGAAAATAATGATTGCGATGACGATGACGATGATTTAATAATAATAATAATAATAATAATAATAGTAATAATTAAATTCCGGTTTCCGGTTTTAATTTTTCTTAAAATTTTTACGTTTAGTTTTTCGTTTTCCGTTAGTTTTTTTTTTCTTTCTCTCTCTCTTTGTGTTTCTCATTTATTTATCTCTTTCTCTCTCTGTTTCTCTGCCTTTATATCTCTCACTCTCTCTCTCTCTCTCTCTCTCTGTTTCTCTTCCTTTATCTTTTTCCTTCTCTTTTGTTCTTTCTTTCTTTCTTTCTGTGTTTCTTTCCTTTCTCACTCTGTCTCTCTCTGTTTTACAATTTTACCACCTTTCTTACTTTTCCTCTCTCTTTCTCTCTCTCTCTCTTTCTCTCTTAAGTTTCGTGACTTTTATTTTATCCTACCTGATTGTTGGAAATTTCCAGAAGATTCTTTCGACGAATGAAAATACGATCAGGAAAAAAATTTCTTCTCTCATCCCGAGTACGCGACGATCATTATAAATGAAATAAACGAAAAAATTATTATTATTATTATTAAAATCATATTAATTAATTTTACTTATTTATTTATTTACTTTATGATATGATGTGTGTGAATTTTTTTCAAACTTACCCGAATTATTAAAATGAAATGAAATCAAATCGAATCAATCAAATAAAAAAAATCAATTACTTAATTAACATATTTTTTATTATTATTATTATTATTATTATGTATACATAATTTTCTTATTTTTTTATTTTTATATATATGTGTAATGTAATTATTATTATTATTATTTTTTTTTAATCAGTTTGTGTGTTCAATAATAAATTATATATATTATTTTATCACGATGATGATGATGATGATGATGATTATGATTATGATAATTATTATTATTATTATTGATAAATAAATAAATGAAATTTTTTTTAATATGACAAATAAAAGTATTTTTTTATTATTATTATTACCACCTCAAAAGGAAAAAACAAAAATTATTGATTTTTTATTTATTGATTTTTACTTATTGATTTATTATTATTATTATTATTAATATTTTTTTTTCAGTTATGTTTTTGATAATTATGATGATGATGATGATGATGATAAAATAAAATATTTAATGAAATGTTTTTTATTTATTTATTTATATATATATTATTGTTATTATATATATTATTGTTGTTGTTATTATTAGTATTATGGTTTAACAATAAATAACACGTGGGAAGGGAGGGAGGGATGGGAATGGGTAATAATTAATAAAATTTTGAATTATTATTTTATAGAGGGTGGTGAGGGGATGGGAAGGATATCATCGTAAATCGGAATTTATTAAATTTTCGTTTTTTTTGTATTTTTCGAATTCGCGTCCCGTTCGCGTTCGTGCCGTTTCCGTTTCCGTTATTATTATTATTATTATTATTTTTTTTATTTAGTGCAATCGTTATTATTATTATTATTATTTGTGATTTATTTTGTGTTTTTTTAATTATTTGTCGTTACGAAGGTATTATTAATTCATCATCGAGTGTTTAATTAATTAATTTTAAAGTGCATTTTTTAAGTGTTTTATTATTATTATTATTATTAAAAAAATTTCAAAATGGCGGCGTAAAAATTTTTTCATTTACCGACTCGTACCTTTTTCCGATTCGGACAACGTTTTTTTTTAAATATTTTTTTCGCGTATTTTTCCCTCCTTATAATCATTTACCAATAATATTAACGATTCATTGATTGATTGATTGATTGATAATAATAATAATAAATATCGTTTTGTAATTTTTTTTTTTTTTTTTTTTAACAGGAACCGTGCGAAAAAACCAAAAAAAAAAGTTATAAAGAAATAAATGTAATCGTTTAAATACCGTTTAACGCACACGCACACACGTACAAACCGGAAGTAAAAACGTTTCAAAACCTTGAAAATTATTTTCCCACGCTTAAATTTAAATTTTCATGTTCGAATTGTGTCGTTATTATTATTATTATTATTATTATTATTATTATTATTATTATAAATAAATCGTTTTCTTTTAAATAATAATAATAATAATTGAAATTCAACGTTGTGCGTGCGTGCGTGCGTGCGTGCGTGCGTATGATTTTTCCCTTTTATTTTTTTAATTGATAATTAATTTATATTAAGACTTTTTAATTCAATGGCGAAAAAAAAAAAAAAATCGTGTTTAAATTTCGTTTCAGCACATTATGAGAGAGAAAGAGAAAGAGAAAGGGAAAGAGAGAATGAGAGAGAGAGAGAGAGAGAGAGAGAGAGAAAAAGAGTGAAGCCATCCATTTAAAACCGTATAAGGTGTTGAGATTTAAAAATAACAATAAAAAAAAAAAATTGAGCGTACCCAAGTTCATTTGCTCTTTTCTACGGTTCATAAACATTCTTTTGTTTGTTTGTTTGTTTGTTTGTTTGTTTGTTTGCCTTTCTTCTTTTAT